TTCCATCTGGCAAGGTCCATGTGTATAGTCGTCTGTTATGCTGTCTAAAGAAGGTATTTGAAATAAACAAATCATTTGTCTTGCAGAAATCTATCAGGCTGTATAAGTCCACAAAATCATTGGATCTGGCCCTGCTAAAGCAACCACAGATGGGATTTGTAATGTAATACATCCAGGAGCTTTTTTCATAGCAATATAAATTTGTATTAAGTGATGTTATAAATATCCAAATGGCCCTTGGCAGAAAAAAAATGTCCCTCAACCCTGGCTTAGAGCATAATTCTATTTAATAAAATACTTTCTCTTTGAGGACGCTCTCTCTGTAACATTCTAGTACTGCGGGTGTTGGGATATCTGATATTTTCACAGTCTAGAGTAGTAAAATATTTCCTTTTCCAGAGGAGGTGAAATGTATCATTTTAAAATCTGCATTTGGGAGTTCCTAAAGCCAGTTTATTTGTTGTTATCCTTAATGTTCACTGAAAAGACTGCCAGTGGCAATTGGTTCTGGCCAATGGCGGATGATCACTAGAAGCGACCAAAAGGCACAGTTTAATGTGTGAATGTGTTTGGTGGTGGTGGTGTGCGGTGGAATTGGTTCCAACTCATAGCAACCCTGTGTAGGGTTTCCGAAGGAATAGAAGGCTATATGGGAGCAGAAAGCCTCTTCTGTTTCCCATGGAGTGATTGGCAGATTCGAAATGCTATCCTTGCAGTTAGCAAACTAGTTTATAATCCACTACTCTACCAGGGCTCCTTATGAATGTGTTTAATGTGCCAATAATTGCTTGTGTCCCTGGAGTGGTGAACAGACTCAGTTTAATGAGTTTTTTTCTGTGTGGTAGGGTTACTTGGGAGACAACAGCATCCTAGTTATAAACGTTAGTGTTTTTTTTAAATAAGGGAAAGCAGGTACTGACTCTATAGAATGAGATCCTGGTGACATAGTGAACTAAGTGTTAGGCTGCTGACCAAAAGGTCAGAGGTTTGAACCCGCAGCCGCTCCATGGGAGAAAATTTAATAAAGATTGTAGCCTTGGAAGCTCTGTGAACACTTCTGTCCTAAGCTGTAGGGTTGTTATGAGTTGAAATCAACTCAATGGCATTTGTTGTTTTTTAGTTCTAGAGAAAATGTAATGACAGACTAAGCTTTCCTGAAGTTGAGAACTTGAAAGGGGCTTCAGCTGACCTCAGGTCATGGTGCCCTGGTTCCCAGATGAAGAGGCTGCCACACCCTGGCCAGAACACCCCCTCCCCCCCACTGCATGCCACCACCCCTCACACAGACTGTGAAACTTTAAGTATATCCAACCTATATTACCCAAGCTGGCTGCTAAAATGAAAAGGTGTGTGTGTGTCTGCATGGATTAGGGCAAACAGTCACTGGCCAGATGGATCGATTTAAAACTCTTGCATATTACAGATACAACTTTTTATATCTCCACACAACAACTGGTGCTAGAATAAAAAAGTGTAATTCTAGATAGTTCTTAAGAAATCTTGATTTACCATGTTTCTGATTATACTAAGAAGATGAAATGAGTTTTAATTTTATATTAACAAAGATATTTAAATTGGAAATAATAACTCTACCTTTTGTTTATTTCATCCTAGGACGCTCTTGTAGACTGCTACAAACCAACAGAGGTAAACCAATCTCTCTTTATAAATGTCATGCTATAATTTGTTCTTTATTAAATCATGCTGTCGGTTTTCAAAGCTAGCACACAATAAGTGGGCTTGATTATGTGTGCATTCTAAGTAGTAATTATTCTCCATAAATGTGTATGTTTGAATGATACTAACTTCATTATATCTAAGCCTAAACATGTTTGGTACAGGAAGAGTTAAGGCTAATGGAATTGGGTATGATACTTGCTTTTATATCAAAGCCAAACTTCAAAAGGTTATTGTAAAAAGATTTTGAATTGTCGTAAAAAGTTTTAGGTTTATATCTGGAGAATACATTCTATTAGATTATAGGAATATAATTTTTAAAAGCTTAAAGCTGATTCATGCTTTCATAAGAATTAGCTTGCTGGAAGGAGACATTTTAGACTTTGGATATTTATCAAATGTGTAGATACTAGTGTGGGGAGAAAGATGAGGCCTTCTGTTCTCATAAATATTTACAGTCTTGTAAACCATGGAAACCCTATACAGGGCTGCTAAGAGTCGGAACTGACTTGCCAGAAGTTAACAACAACAACAACAAACCCTGATCCAGAGTCACTATGAGTTGGAACTTGCTTGATGACACACAGCAAAAACAATTTAGTTTGCAGTGTGAAAAATAGTGATTATTAGTCTAATTAGAACAGTACTGTTACAGTGTTACGAATGATTGAAAAGCATAAATTGTAGAAATTAAGGTTTGGGTTATAAATAAAACTATTAGCAAAAGAAGTTTACTCAGGGTGTATCCATGATAAATCGGAGAAGTTAGACAACCCAGCACATTTGGGAGTTTCTCTGTAACATCAAAGCATTGTTGTTGTTAAGTGCCATGAAGTTGGTGAGTCGGTTCTGACTCACAGTGACCTTGTATAGGGTTTCCAAGGAGCAGCTGCGTGGGTTTGAATATGCCAACCTTGTGGTTCGAAGTCCAGTGCTGATCCTACAGCGCCACACCATGAGTCCATAGGCATTGGTGTTAGACTTCTGAGTTTTATGTGGTAGTATAATTATGGCATGAGACGGAAACATGCTTTTATTGGAATGAACTCTACGGCAGTGGGTTTGGTTTTGGTTTGAGGTCTGTTACTGAAGTGTTTTATGATGGCTTGGTTTGAGGCTATTACTTATTTAGCTTTCTTCTTACACTCCCAATTTCCTCTTTCATTGCTCATGTGTTATAGTCCTAGAGACTTTTTAATTTTAATTTCTTGCCTCACCTTAAAGGTGTTATATTTGGTATTCATATATTTGTGTATTATATTAATATATTCTCATCTAGAACACTAAGCTCTTTATCTGCTAGTTCTTCTTGCATTTCTAAGCATGTGTTTACCACTATTTTTTCTTTAATTATTAACTTAAGGTAAAAGATGGAGAGCTAGTTTTCTTTTCCATCCTCAACAAAGGTAGCTGTTTTGCTAACTCAGTTGTTGTTGTTGTTAAGTGCTGTTGAGTCAATTCTGACCCATAGTGACCCTGTATGGATTTCCAAGGAGCAGATGGTGAACTTGAACCACTGACCTTACAGTTCAAATGGCTTTGCAGTCTGGTGCATTAACCCACAGTGCCACAAACTCAGTAGTTGAGGTTTATAATATTAGGAGTTAAGCAAATGTTTTTCACTCCTAAGCCAAACAGTGAAATCTGACCACAACTCCATTGTTGTATTGCTGTTGTTCAAGTCCATCAAGTTGGTTCTGATTCACGGTGACCCTGTGAATAACAGAAAAAAAATGTTTCCCAGTCCTGTGCCACCCTCACGTTCACTCAAACAAATGGAGCCCTTTGATTTTCCTGGGGTTGATAAGTCTTTCGTTTTATCTAGTGCCTATTGTTCACTTTTGTTGAACTCTTCAGTATCTGCATCAAACAATATCTATATGTCAGTGTGTTTTCTCTGTGTTCAAACAATATCACTGCCATCTTCCCTCCCCAAGACATTTTTTCCTGAAGCCCCTATGTAATCTGGAGACGATACTCAATGGGTCTGTTGAGTGGCTACTGTCCTCAGATTTTACTGCTTGCGTTTGTTAGATGTGTAATTTCTTAATTTCCCAGCCTTCCTTGTTTTCGTTAGAATATATCATCCAGGACTTTTTTTGGGGAAGGGTGTACATAGGAGGTAATTAAAAAAAAAAACAAAAAAAAACTTATATACTAAAAAATATTTCAGTCATTTAGTTGACAGAATTCTAGGATGAAATCATTATTAAACCTCAATTTAAAAATAATTATTCTATTATTATACTAGTACTACTTCTAGTGTTAAGCAATCGGATGCCATTTCCATGCTCCGTCTTTTATGTGGGATTATCTCCTGCAAAAATGGTGTGGTGGCCATGTCTGACTTCTTCCAGTTTCAGAAGAGGGAAGGAGAATCAAATTCAAAATCAGCTCTTAATGGATTTGTATGACGAGGAGCTTAGACATGTCTCCATCTTCCCACCATTCTGACACCCACTTTTGGCACTATAGTTTTCTGCTGGGTTCAGTAATCTCTTGCATAGGCCACACAGAATTCACAGACTTTAATCACAACTGTGGGGCCTATTAGGGAAGTGAACCGGGTACAAATGAGGATCAGAAACACTTCAGGAAACAGCAGTTCTCTGGTTAGGGACGCGTCTTCTCAGCTGTACCACAAGCATGTCTCTCTAGGCCATGTGGCCCCTTGGCGACTGCCTTGCTGGGGCAAGTGTTAGAAGCTTCTTTTGCTCCACTGATACAAGCCCTAAGGGTACTCAGCATTCATTACTCCTTCTGTGGGTTGAGTAGCCCGTTGCTTTTTTTCTCCATGCCACTGCCTCTGCCCTCTCGTGGTCCACAGGACGTTTTCTGCTCATGATTCTTTCTCTTGATGGTCTTGAGATCCTCTGTTTGTCTTCTGAGATGGCTCCTTGTAAAACTAACCGATACACGTGTTAGAGTCCCATATACCCTGTGTGCATGGTCTCACCCAGTCACGTGGTGGAAGTTAGAAAGAGTAGTGAAGAGCCATAATCCACTGTATCTCATCTCCGTATTTTGAAACTTTGCAGGTTCCACTCTGCTGTGGGCCCTTTCTTATTCAGACGCAGGGTTTCTTAGTCATTTCTCAAGCCGCATGTACCTGTTTTACAGAAATTGTCTTTTAGTATTTCTTGGCTAATTTATTCCTCAGTATTCTATAGTTCTGGCTCTTCTACTATTTAGATGTTAAATCTTTGGATTGTTCCTCTAAGTTTTAATTTTTTAAAAAAACTCTTTACCCTTTGTTTTCCATTTCTTTCATCTTTTGTTTTACTTTCTGAAAAGTTCCCCTCTTCTAGCTTTTCTAGTGATTTAAAAGAATGTTTCAAAGATCTTTTATTTATATATATATATCTGAGAATCCTTTCTGGATCTCTGTGTATTATTTCATTTAGCATGTCTTCTTGCTTCCTGGATGTGATTTGTTTTCTTTTTGAGGATATTAATCAGGCGTTTCCTTTTCTTGCTTTGCTTTTTATATTTTTAAGTTTGTTGATTTGTGCATCGACTCTATTTTTCTGCATCTTACCTTTTACCCGGTTTGGTCTGTCTGTGCTGACTTCTGCCAGTGTGGCCATGTGTGACTGTGAGGAGTCAGCAAGTTGATTGGAGAGAGAGAGTGGGTGTCAATAAGTCATCAAGCAAGCATGGCTTGCTCTCTGGTGGGGCCTACTGTGATCTGGCTGTAAGCCAGGATTATTCTTCCATGGTTTGTGGTGTGGAGGGTCTGGGCAGGGGCAGAGACTACTTCTCAAATGTCAGCATTTGGAAGTCTTGTCTCAGGAGAAATTGATTTTTTTTTCAGAAATTGACCCTCTCATTTCCTGCCTGAAACTGATGGTCTGAATTCAGGCTTTCTGGAAGCAGGGAGGGAGAGGAAGAAAGGGAATCTCATCATTAAACTCCTTGTTTTATCGTTGTTAGGTGCTGTGGAGTTGGCACTGACTCTTAGTGACCCTATGCACAACAGAACAAAACACTGCCCTGTCCTGCAGCAGCCTCACAATCGTTGCTACACTGGTGCCCATTGCTGCTGCCACTGTGCCAGTCCATCTTGTTGGGGGGGGGGTCTTCCTCTTTTTTGCTGACCCTCCACTTTACCAAACATGATATCCTTCTCCAGGGACTAGTCCCTCCTGATAATATGTCCAAAGTATGTGGGAGACAAAGTTAGGCCATCCTGGCTTCCAAGGAGCACTTCTTCCAACTCTTTGGGTACCCCAAAACCAACCAAACACATTGCCATCGAGTTGATGCTGATTCATTCAGCTCTTGGGGAAGGCTCTCTCTGACGTCTCTGGGAGAGGGAAGTCTCATTCCTTTTCTGGAGTTCTGGGTTCCTGGGTTCCTTGGCTATCTCCATGTGGCACGTGATACAAGGTAGAACTGCAGTCATTATGACTGTAATGTTTCAAGAAGCAGATTTCCAGGCCTTTATTCCTAGTGCTCATGTATTCATTTGAACCACCAGTCTTTAGGTTAGTAGTTGAGTATGTAAACCATTTGTGCCCCCTGGAGACCACTTTGGGGACAAGGCTTCTTTGCTTATAGATAGTACAGAACTAATATAAGGGTTTGAAGCAGCTACATATTTGGAGAGCAATTTTAAATTGTTGTGAAGGACTAGACAAGGAAGACTGGTGGGATTGTCACCAAGAAAGGCGGTGGGCTATGCCAACAGTTTGCTACGTGGGGGAGGGTTTGCTGATGGGAGGGGAAATAGACTGGTAGGGAGGCTTCATTATCCCCTTTTCTTTGGTTCTCTTCCTAAGTGTAAATGTTCACGGTTTAGTTTTTCAGTGATGTCTTGAGCTGCTATCACAGAAATACCACCCAGTGGGTGGCTTAAAAGAACAGACATTTTTTTTCTTACTTGTTAAGAGGCTAAAAGTCTGAAATCAGGCCACCAGCTCTCGGGGAAGGCTCTCTCTGGTGTCTCTGGTGTCTGTGGCAGACGGAGG